CTTTGAGTTGGTGTTGATACTGTGTTCTTCTGATCTGTGGTATGATTGTCTGCCTTATGTTTTCTTGGGTCTCTGTGTTACGTCCGGTAGTTTTAAATGCTGTTTATAAGGCTGCACAGAATTTTAGCTGATTGGCATTGTCCATGTTATAGCTGAGGCCTTTCTGGAGGATACTGTGTTCTGCAGCGGATAGTGGTTGGCTGGACATGTTGATTACCCATTCTGGTCGGTATCTCTTTGTTTCCCTAATCAAAGAACTACCTGATGGAAAAATAAAAAAAAAACAAAAACCCCACCCCCACCAACACTGGCAGTGCATGCCACTGTATATAAACAGAGAGCAAACCCCACTCCATTCTAGCACTGAAGATGTTACCTAGCCAGGTAACGAAACATTTGCAAGAAAACAGCCAAGCTCAGAGAACTCCAAGGACTCTGAGATAGCATTATTAGTACTTAATTTTTAAAATATACCATAATATCAGGAAATAAATAAATAAATGCAGCTTTTCTCCATTTAAAACCAGCATTTGGCTGGATTCCTAGGGATGAATGCTTAAAGAAATATAATTACTCACCAGCAACCTGAAATAGTTGCTTCTTATTCAAAAACATTACAACTATCCTTACCAAAGGTGAAAAGTAACCATCATGATCACCAGGCTAGTTTAATTCCAACTTGGAAAAGAAAAAAGTAAAGATGTATATTGGTTCTGCTGTTTGATTTGTATATTAGTTCTATGGCCAATAGTTTTACCAGGTTTTTACCCTGCTATGACAGCAAACAGACATCTTTCTGTTCTTTTATATATGAATGATATATACTTTCCTCGAAAGCAGTTGGTGTGAAGAGAGCTTTACAGGCTCTTGTCATCTACTGTATATTGAGGAATTCTTAGCTATCAATTATCCTAAAGAACAAAAGGGGGGCAGGGAGTTGTAAAAAAACAAAAACAAAAAACCTAGCCCAATACAGACAACAGGTAAATTGAAACTGCACTGAGCAAGTCAAGTTTTATAGATGTCAGTGGTTGCTTTCCATGCAGTAGAGTCCTATCAGGCAGAAACGTAACATGTTGTTGAGAGGGTCCGAAACAGTCTTCCTGCCTTAGTTAATAGAACCCATTTGTTGCAAAAGTGGTGGCTCAGCTGTTGCAGGGTGCCCAGATCTCTTTCTATAATGTTTTGGCCTTCTGGAAATTTTCAGTCCAAATTCTTAAGAGCTACATTTGTAGTTTCTCAAGGTGTATTGTACACATTGTTATGTCAAGAGTCTAGATTGGTAATAACTGAAGCTTGAGCTCGCATTCATTTATTCAATGTTTAGTTTAAACTAATTTTTCCTCTGTTGGTTTGAGTCTCCTAATCTAACTGGATTGCTTTAAGCCCTTTAGAAATAATTTTGGAAAGAAGAAAAATGTTATGCATTTGTCCCGAGCTTAGCTCAGCTGAGATTTTACAGAAAAAACCAAACAAAATACAGTCCACTATATAGGGCTTAATGAACTCCAAAAGATTGTGTTATTCCTAATTACTGAGTCTGGGCAACCCTGGCCAAAACTTTATGCCTGGAAGTTATCACTCTAATTTGACTGTCCCAATTCAGAGGAGAGCCTCTACGTTGCTTCAATCCAATGTTCTGTGGGACATGTTCACCTGCACTGCTTTTATTGCAGAGGTATCCATTTCACTTTCATCATTTCCTGGCAAGCTAGTTTCATTTTCCTAAACAGAATCCTTCTCTGATGATAGAGAACTTAAGCCACTCTCCTGCTTCTACATCATGACAAAAGTTGCTCAAAACAATTTAGCTAGAACTCATTTTGCATGTCATTGCATTAATGGACTATAAATTGAATCAAGATGAGAATATATATACTATACTATACACACACACATGCACACAGCAATACATCTGGTTATATAACTAATAACTAGAAAATGGGGAAAGTATGTTTAATACACTAGAAGCAGAACAGTTGGAAACTTTATTACAGAATTATTTGATACTATCTTTAGTGAATTATGCTCTATTTACCTACACTGAAGTTGAGTAACTGATCTTTCTTTTTATAACTGGCTGCCATGCCACTCCAACATTAGGGAAAGCAGTCTGTAAGAGGAGTTGTTGCAATGAGGAGGAATCAACCATAAAAAGCAAGAAAAAAATTTTTTTTTTAATGTAGGTGGATCAGAAGCACAGATTTATTTATTTATTTTTGTGCTAGACTATCTGAGGATCCATACTCAGCAGAATATACATTCAGTGTTTCCACTCTTAAATTCCTAGTAGAATCTGGGTTAGAAATTAGTGACATATGTGGGGGGAAAAGGATTGTAAATTCAGAGAAAGTAAATCAGTGTATCAATCTCTGGAATTTCTGATAATTATCAGATTTGTTTGAAACTTGCTACATTTAGTTGTATTTCTGAGAAAAATAAATGTATGACATATACAGAAAAACTCTTATGTTACAGAAGAATGATTCACATCTCTAGAGTACAGAGTTTAACTTGAGTATGTATGTATGTATGTAATTGATTGAAGGGACCTGTCTAGTTCCACACTAAGGAAGTACACTCTTGTTCTCAATATTGTCTCTGTGAGGAGTGGAATCTCAATTATTCTTAACTTCCTTAAGTCTTTTCATCTACCAGAGGATTTTCACTGGAATCCACTGCACTGAGAAACCAAAGCCATAATTTCTTTTGGGCAGGGAACTCCTGACCCCTACTCCCACTCTCCTAAATGAAAAAGAATGCGTTGGTGTGAGCAAGTCCAAAAATACAGCTGCAAAAGATGACATATCCTCTCTTCCTTACCCGACTTGGCCCCATCAGGAGGAAGAAGCCCACAAATCAAGTTGATACCTTCATCTCCCAGCATGCAGTCCCCCAAATCCAAGGCCACAAGTGAGGGATGGATGGATAGTGCTGGGTTGAGGATGGCCAGACCAGCATCTGTCAGGGGACTCCCATGAAGGCTGTATAAATAAAAAGGAGTTATAGACTGTCTTCCCTTTGAGTTGCAAACGATAAACAGACAAATCCTAAGTGTATGGGCTGGGTATGCACTTGATTTTCAGAAAGCAGAATAAAACCGGGCACTAGTAGAAAAACACAGGAAGGTTACAATGGAGGACAAGGACACTGGAATCTTCTGAAAGAGGCAGGGTAAGTGTTTGATAAAAAGCCTTCTCTGGAAGCCCACTAATGCATATTTTTACCTGAACTTCCATGTTTGGGAGCCCATTTCCTATGTTGGAAGTGATCTCATAGAGACGTTTGCTTAGGCAGATTCTGGTTCATGAAAGTTGTTAGTTTAGGTGTAAGACACCCTGTTGTTTTTGTTGCAACAAATGCTCAAGGCCACCTTTCCAGAAGAGAGGCAGCTATTCCCCATCTTCCTAAAGGCACAAGTATCAGAAAGGGCTGTGTATTTTTTTCTGATAAAAATGCCTTAAAGGAATACAAGTGAGAACTGTCATTGCTTGAGAAGCAGCAGAGTAAGATTTAAGAAATAATGTACATTTTAATTTCAGATTCATAATTGGCACTTACCATGCACATTATCTGACATAAGGTTCAACCTATTCCAATTATTTGGATCAGGTAAATTAAAATCATACAACTTGCAGTTATAGGGACCGAAACACCTATTTTTGAATAAAGATAGTAAATTTAATAGGACTGTCCTTGACCTCCTCTAAAAGTGCATGAAAGCTTTGGAAGCTCATTCGTTAGGTTCCTTCATGTGACAAAATGGCAAATTATGGATATGTTTTCATGCTTTCTTAACCAAAAGTGTGGAATTTGTAGCCCTACTACTATCTATTGGATTGTGACTCCTATCAGCTCCAGACCAAACAGCAAAACATCTGGGATGAATGTAAATTGCAGTATGACCTCTAGAAGACCACAGACTTTTCAATTTTAATTGGTGTCATTTACTAATGAATCACTATTACTTTGGAAGATTAAATTGTGGTAATTATCAACACTTCGAATTGGATGACCACTTGTCCTTTAAAGTGCATTGTGTATCTCTGTATAACCCCCCACAAGACAGGAAGATGTATGTTGTTGGGTTGTTTTTTTTTGGAACAGCCGCCATTTAAAAATATTGAAAAGGTAGCTAATAATGCTAAGGAATTCTAGAAGCCCCCACTCTGTTTATGTCAATGAAACACAACTTTTAAAGAAACCAGCACAGCATTTGCCCTGCAGGATTTGCACCACCGCATCCTCCGCTGAGACTAGGCGGAGGGAGTACTCACAACAAAGATTGGACAGAGCGGTTTGTCTTCAGGGCTTCAGCCAATTGCTTGACCCGACTGATATTGGAAACAATTCCCAAGTTAAGATTAAGTTGAGCCAAGGAATGAGACTCTGCTACCCCCCTGCAGATACGACCGAAATCTCGATCAGAAAGTTGACAACCACGGAGTGAAAGCAGTTTGATGGAGTTCTCCCGCAGGCTCTCACAAATATCCCGAATCTCTGCACTGGATAAAGTCTCCCCAGAGATTTGGATAGATCCTGGCAACATCGCTCTGTAAACCAGAAAACAGCTTCAGCAATTTGCTGCGTTAATCCGGTTGCTGTACTCAAAATGGGAAACCCAGACTAGTGCAGCAGGAGCTCCCTGCAATCCGGTTAAAAAGAGAAAAGCAGCGTGTTACAGAAGTGAGTGAAGAGACAGTTTTATAATCCTGTGCCAAATGGGGGGGTTGGTGCAATTTTAAATACAGGAGTGCTTAGCAAATCATGGATCAAAATAATATGCAATTCGGAAAAGTCCTGCTGGGCGTATTGCACAGACTGGATTCGCGACGGCACATCAACGTGCCTAGTTGCACTGAGGTAAATTCCGCGCAAATCCGAGTTAAAAGCTCAGAGGCTAATAGCGTCTGCTGTCTAGACGGGGAAAAAGGGAGCGCGCTCCATTTCTAAAGAAGGTTGGAAAAGTAAGCAGACTGATGGGTGGTGCAGCAGTTTGAAATGCCAGGAACAAGAAATGCAAATCCAAATCAGAGCCAAAGTCTTTCCGAGATTTTATACGCGTGAAGAGCCGGAGAACGCGTATGCCCTGGCTCCTGCAGAAGCGGGGAACCAGGCGTCCGCCGGTGAGGGGGCCGCGGAGCGTCTTCCGGGTCTGTTCCTGTTGCAGCGAAGCCCCTCTTTCCCCGGCGCGCTGCTTCCAATCCGCAGCGCCTGCGTCGCGACCCTCCGGGGCCGGCCGCCGCCTTGTGCTGGGCCGCCGCCGCCCCACCTGCTCCGCCTGCGCTCCCCGGGCAGCCGCGAAGGCCCGACTCCTCCAGCCCAGACCGCGGGCTCTGCCTCCCTTCCCCGGCGCCGCCGCCTTCTCCCGCTTTTACCGCACCGGCGGCT